ATGGAGGAGAGCGAAATAGCAGGGCAAGCAGTGGCGCCGAACACAAGCGTCTGGTGGGGTAAACGTCCTATTGATTTACCGGACGAGGCGGGTGGTTAATCTGTACTTAGCGGACGACGACTTAGTACAACGGCATACTATAGGATTCCATATTAATAATATTTCCATGTTATGAGTATTTTATTTTCGGGTGGCTGGGTGTAAAAATATGTTTTCCCCAGATGTTCGGTGGATGATTCGGCGCCACTAAATTAACAAAATTAGAGAGGTGACATAGATAGATAGAGATAGATACAGAGGGTAAATCCGAGAAAAAGTAGTGGGATGTGGTAAAATATAAAAGACACGGGCGTGGGCCGGATCGGGCTGGATGCAAATGTAAAATCAAGCACAATTTTTCTCAAACTACAATAATATTAAAAATAGTAAAATAATATTCGCACAAACTTACTTTTATACAGTAGGTGTATTTAACGAAAATACCAATGCATGATAATATTGAATACGGAGTAGTAGACAGCGCTTTTTACCAATGTGTTCTTGACGTTATTCAGGAAAACTATAAACCACTTGAACGATATTGGCAACATATAAATTAAAAAAAAAAAGCGAATCGCGACCGAAGACGCTGTTCGCCGATAACCGCACGGTAAATAGTATCTTCCAATCGTTTTAGTTAGCACACACAGACTTGTTGACTTGTTGCAGGACAACCGCAAAAAACGCCCAAAAGCTTGCACGGCAAACACACCAACGCCCTCCGCCAGACCGGACTCGTCAGTGAACTGATCAATAATGGAAGAAGCCAGCCAGCCAGCCCGGAGAGGGCGCAAAATAGCACACCTACCCTCTTCGATTGTTTGCCGATATTCTTGGAAAATCGTCTGCGATTATTTTGCAGTTGTTACTTTTCCGGCTTTTCATGTCCACCGCGGTCCACGCACTATCGATATTATGTTGACGATACTTCCAATGTAAAGGAATGCCATCTAACATCTAATTTCATTACCGGGACTCGTCGCGGCCGTGGATCGGCACTGCGTACTTTGGTATTATTGTAAGCAACAAATAGTATGTTTTATCCAAAATTACCGTCCAGTTTAAATGGTACAAATTAGAAATAAAAAAATCACAGCTTAGCTTCGATCCCAAGACGAGAATGTGTTGATTGAGAATGTGAATCGAATCTACTCTAATACTAAAAATACAATTGCGATTGTGAGGTTTTTACAAATTTTCAAACACATTTTAAAGTTCTAACTGCATTTCTATAAAATGATTTTATGACCAACTACCTAACTTAATTAGGTTTTAATTAACCATAATATGGTTTTATTGCAACAACAATAAACCTTACCAATATGCATGGTTAACTCCTAAAAACTAGTGACATCTCCCACCCCATTATTACCCGTCTTAACCACGGTTGTAGATAAACTGGTTGCGTATCGTGCTATGAAAAAGCGGCTACAAGAATTCCTATCTAAAAAGCGAGTGATTGCTAGCGCTGCTTGTGAATAAATCATGGTACTTACTATCTTTCTTTGAGTATCCGGTGGATAAATCTTGGACCTTTTACTGATAAACCGGCTGTTATCATAAACACGACTGAAAATAACAAACCAACAGAAGTCAGCAAACCGCATTGCAGCATTTTGAATAACAATGTAGTGAATATGTGCATAATGTATTATAATAACTTTTTAATAAGTAATATCCATAATGTTTCATAAAAATACATCACAAAATATTATTTGTCCGATTGATTAATTTACTTTGCCACTGTTTATAGTGGCATATATAATTGTATTTATATAAGTTTATACATTTTGTAACTTCTTATGAAAAACGATAATAATTACCTTTATGTTTATAGCTACTGGACATGCAGGTTCATTAAAATTTAATGGAATTGATACTTTCTTTAAAAAAATCTAGGATTTATTTTACATTTAGATATATGGTAAACTTTTACTTAAATGTTACTTTTATTGTATTATATTATGAACTTACTGTGTATTTAGTAAGCAAGTCTGATTCCTTAAAATGTGAGAACCATACCCTAAAAATTTTTTTTCAACTTAATACCTTCTTCCCATTGTTTTTTTATGATTTCGGCACTAGGTACTTTAAAAAGAGTTTTTCCTAAAGAGTGAGGTTTACGAATAGCATAATAATTTGGCATATTTTATATATGAATATACCCGAAAAAATACAAGTACACAGAATATTGTGTGTAATAAAAATTAGACATTATAGAAACAAAGTATGGGGGGAATAATAATCAATATTTTTTGATAAATTTAATATTATGATTTATAGTGACACAGATTCAATAGTATGCATAGCATAATGGTGAAAAACTATTAATAGTTGGGAACTTTTACATGTTGGCGTTTTACGCGGGATAATCAAATACAGATAATAAAATACACGATTTTTCCACAAGGAGAGCTAGCAGTCACTGACTTTTTAGAAAAGAACTTTTGTAGCCGTAGACAGAACATAGCGAGGTATAGACCGAAACGCAACCAGTCTATCTACATCCATGGTCTTAACTATGCCCTATATTGATAATAGTGTTTATTTTTTTTTTAATTTAATTTTAGGTGTAAAAACTAGCTAAATCGATTGAGTAGTGCTAAATCGATTTGGCCATAGGCTAATAGTAGCGTTTAAAAATTATAAACGTACCAACCAATATTTACTTTAGGTAAATAATTCACCGATAATAAATAATAACGATAACCGCTATCAATGATATTAAGTTGTGGCCTGAATGTTTAGTTTTAAGATTTTTTTTATTTTGTGGATATTGGAACCGGCCTTTGTATACAAACTCTATTTCCTGTTTCCCGTTGTGAATATAAACTGCTTCTTTTCTTCAAAGTCAACGTCGATCCGATGTCGTTATCGTCCAACTTTACTACTATTGTACCATCAGCTAACCATGGTGTGCGTTAGGTTGCCTACCCAAAACTGATTAGGCGTAAAGATTCAATATCGGCTTCGGTTCTTTCACGTGCCGAAAGATTTCTTCTAAAACAAATAAATTATCATTTTTAAAAACATTTTTTAGCCAACAAAATTTTAGAGAATAATATAATATAAAATTATTATTTTAAAACGTGTAACTATTGCAAGTCGACTTTCTTACTTTTAATAAATAATTACTTAAAACTAGTTATCGACCTGTAAAAAAAATATTAAAACCCCGGAAAATACATACACGGAATGTAATAATAAATAACAAAAAGTGATACTAGCGCTTTTAGTGGTAAAAATATTAGACCAAGTACAGAACAATAATTATAGATAGACATTGAAATTTATTATTTGAATTTAAATAATTTTTTCTATAAGTAAAAGCCATTTTGCATTATTTCAGACCAAAAAGCCAGACAAAATAAATACAGAATGAAAATCGTACCACCCTAAGTAGTCGACATTTTGTCTGGCTTTTTGGTCTTAAACGTAAAAAAACAGACCACACGCAATCCTCTAAAAAATTATTGTTTAATAATAATTGTCTGTACAAATGTCAACAATTTATAAATAAATAGTATTGTGTAGAGTCAAATTAAACCAAAAAAAAAACCCTGAGGGTGGACGGAAAAATCTAACTGATTTTCTTGAAACTTTTTATAATGTAATTTTGAAAGTATAAGCTGTAATTTTCGCCCTTGAACGTTTTTAACCGCTGATTTTTTTTTAATGTATCTTTTTGTCTACAGAGGAAAGCCAAATCCACATGATCACGATGAAACAGCACCGGCTAAATTGGTTTTTGCATGTAGACACGAAGGATTTTACAATATTATATTCGTTCGAGTTCATTTAAAATGCATTGTAATTTTGAAAGTAATAAGGATAAGAAAATTGGTTTTGTACCCTTAGGGCATCACGTCTATGGGATTTACAATTTCATCATAACATATTATTATATATTGACATAATATACATTTTCATTATATAAATGCAATTATTACTTATTATTGCAACTACTAGTGTAAATACTTTTTATTTGGAAAATATTTGCTTTTCAATTCTTCAGAAAGACTGTGACTCACTCTATTATTCGTGTGTGGACGTTTTGTTTTACCGCCAATGTTTAAACATATATTTATAAACACGGATACATTCATTGCAATCGAACAATGAATAATTTTACTATAATAATACATAAATAAAAAAAATATCGTCCATTTCACAAATAATAACAATCGTAGTGTAACTTATAAGCACACCGTGAAGTATCTAACCTAATCGATAATAATTATTATATTTGGATTTATTATTATTTGAGTTCACTTAAAATACCTATACCTATACTTTAATGGGTATTTATCCGATTACAGTATTCAGGGGACACTTGTAAAATATTCCATTTTATCATCAAGAATATACCTACCTATGATTGATTGATGTACTGTAATAGCACAGAACAATATACAACGTACAGTTAAAACGTGATATATTGTACATCTACAGTTTGAAAGACATAGATGAAATCAATAGTAGGTACTTAGGTTATAAGCTTAGCGCGACATCCACTTTAGATAATAATCGATCAATATTCAGTTGTTTTCGTTTCAATTACAACACGGATTAAAATAAAAATAGATTTGTTGTTATTTGTTGATAAAACATATTATTTTAATGTGAATTTAATCAAAAATCACTTAAAATGAACAAAGAAAAAACCTTAAGGCGTAGCCAACTTTTTCTTTACTATGGCTGATAATCAACTACTTGCGGTTGAGTTACTTTAAGAAGCGTTATTCAAAACTGGTTAATTAATTATACTTGATTTAACTAAAGTTTAAAAAATATTTATTTTTTTTTTATACAAAAAGTAGCTGTTACAAGTACATTGTAATGCAGGTGAAACTATATTTTTTTATCAACGTGGCTTGATATTTATCATAAAAATATCGATCGCTAATGACAATTATTTTAGACTGTCATCAAATTTTAACAATAAAATTGACTGTACGGTAGTTGAATTTTTAATTAATAGACGGTGTAGCGCCCTCTTAAGTGGTATACCTATCCGTTTGTGGCATTAATCAGATAAGATATTTTGCGTTTAATAATGCATATAAATAACGTTCACCTAAGCGTTTGATTGGCATTTCTCCATGAATTTCCAATACGGCTGTATTTCATAACAACAAATATTTATGTATAGATAAATTACTAATAAAATATATACATTGAAAGATCGGGGATTGTCAATCATGAAGACTTCACGACGTTGGCTGTACTTGAAACTAGTAAGTACAACATATACATGTTTAGCTGAAAATATAGTAAATATGTTTTAATATTTTTGAAAATTGTATCATATATTCTTTTTAGGTCCTTAATAACAAAAAAACTTAAAAAATAATTTTTTTTACCTAGGTGGTTCGACTTTTAGTTTAAAAAACTATTTAAAATAAACACATTTGTTTCGTTCGATTTTACCTAGTAATCATGTGTCTAACACAAGGTCCCACTCCTTTATAAAATTGAAAAATAACTTTCATAAATCTAGTCAAAATAATAAAAAAGCTTTTTTGAATTTTACCAAATTCGATTGCATTTTATGATGTATATAAATCTTACTAACCTCCCATCGAAAACTAGGAAAATATCCTCGACCTTTTGGCTAGAAAAAATTTTACCTTTTTCTCTACTTTGTTTTTTATTTGTGCAATTTTTGAACTTATTGTTTGAAAATCAGAACGAAGGCAGATTTGTGTGTGTATTTATTTATAACGTGTGGTTTTCTTCTTTGAAAATCTGCAGTGAAACTATATTTCCCCGCCAAAGTTTATAATAAAACAATTTTGTGTAAAAACATCATCTTTAAAAATGTTTTTTTTATGTTTAAGATTTGTCACCATTCAGACATTCACAAAAATCCTTTTTATTTACAGTGCGGTTTGATCACACTCAGTTATAACAATAATAATACTACATAATGGAATCTATAACCGGATTAATGATTTATTAAGTGGTTACATCATTTTTAAATTTATAATTTTAATCTAACGCAGGCTCTATTGTTTTTTTTTTAATTGCACAATAACAGCAGATCACCTGCCTCAGGCCCCACGGTTTGTTTGGAATATTAAGCGTTTCATGATATCCATGATGTTTACAATTAATGAAAAAATACACACAAAACATACGATACAAACGCTTTTTGTGATAAATCAATTAGGAATGACACCATTTGTCTGTGTAAAGTGATATCAATTTTGATTTTTCTGAATAATTCAATCAAACACACAATTATTTCAATCCTTATCCTCCACTACCGTTTTGCTCTTCTCTACACACAATTTTTATTGTCCTCAATTTTACAACACCTAAACCCTAAGAGAGTTTTATCCGTTTAGATATTTAGTTTTCCTCTCCTTTTCATAATCGACTTAAAAGTTCTTTGTAAGTTTTATTCACTCAATCTGAGACTATGTAATAGTTTGTTTTTTTTTTTTAGTTATTTACCACTTGTTCGTTGGCTACCCATCAATTTATCATAGGCGCCACGCTTATATTCTCTGGAATATTGTTTGCCAAACTCAGAGAGCCTTCGTCCACGTTGACACTTACCCCAGAACAAGCATCGTGGATAGGTAATATAATATTATATAAAAATAATTGCCTATACAGTTTTATAAATGCCAATTCTGTGTTTTTTTGTTTCCAGCTAGTGTACCGAATCTGGTGTGCCCAATCGGCTCGGTGGCAACGGGCATACTGGCTGACAAGATAGGCAGGAGGAAAGCTTTGCATCTCACGTTTATACCGTTGATAATCAGTTGGGGGATTCTGGGCTTTTTCGACACCTACAAATCCATCATGATAGCGCGGACTTTGCTAGGATACTCCGAAGGTAAATTCAAGCACATCCCAAAAAAATGTGTCCGAATATATTAGAGTGGTTCAAGTATTTTTTTTTACCGGTATACGTGTTTATATAGACTCATAATAACTTCGGGCCTTATCACAGAGCATTCAACAAAACTAATTAATCGTTCAATGTACAGATTTTTAATAAGTAAAACAACGTCATCGGTTATCATTTCGTTACAATTTGAAGTGGTTGTATACAAGTTAACATAGTATTACTGTGGATTACATTTAACAAAGCAGCGATAATTAACTAGACACCTAATATTTTATTCAACTAATTCTAATGCAAATATTGATGTATAAAATGATTTATTTTATTCTATTGTAACACCATCCCGTGTTTACAGTAAATATATTAAAATGTCGTCAACTTGATAATATTCGGATGTATATTATGTATTGAAGAGTCTATATGAAGATTACCGATTTGATAATATTTCAATCCATGAAAGTTTCGACACATTCAAATATTGCACAATAGACATTTTATTTTAGTAATTATGTCTAAAATAGGATAAAATTAAGTAACAGGGAGATTTATTAAATGAGATGAAAAGCCTGTTACCTAGACTCTTTTTAAAATTTAAATCATTTTTTTTTTATGCTGTAATGCCAATAATGATACATGTAAACAAACGGGACAAATGCAAAATAATTGGCAATAGTTGCAGACTGCAATTGAAATATTTCCCTTGTATGTCAAATAAAGACTTATACGTACCTCAGATTACATGAAAACCCTAACGAATTTTCCTTAAACATTTTGCAATGAACTTTTGAATGTACTAATATGTTTACCCGTTAAAAATGTATGTGCGCTTCGTTAAATTTAACTTTTTAGTCCAAAGTTTAACATTATGAATAATTTATAGTCTATGTGACAAGTTTAAATAATTTAAGGTCAATAACAATAAATTCTAAGTGGCACACGGGAAAAAACTTAAATTCGCGTGGAACCCAGATATTTTATTTTTTGTCTATTAGACTAGAATTGTTAAAAAATTGTTTGTGTATAGATTTTGGATATTAGCATTTTTTAAACATATTTTATCGGGGTTTCAATGGAATATTAAAAGAATATTTTAAGATTTAATTTGGTAGTGCATATTATCATCTTATTTTGAACTATTTAAAACAATAAAATCCGCTCTCTGATTATTCAAATACATTTTTGAATACTTAGCAAAAAGTTTCTGAAAATCCATTTACCCATTCGACTTGCATTGACTTGGATTTCGTTGGGTTACAGGCACTGGCGCCTATGTGTTGCTGTACATCACCGAAACCAGTCCCACCGTATACCGTCCGCTGTTCCTGGCACTCGTACTGGTCGTCACCGGCATGGGAATGCTGACAATTTCGGTGTTGGCCATCTTTTACACGTGGCAAACACTGTCCCAGATGTTTTGCCTGATGAGCTTGGCGTGTGCGGTACTGCTTTTCGCCGTACCGGAACCGCCCATCTGGCTGAGGTCCAAGGGCCTGGAAACGGAAGCGGACCGCGTGGAAAAGTGGTTCGGCCTCGACCCGCTGCAGAAGATGCCCGGTTGCGGCGTGTCCACGATCGCGTCCAACGCGACGGCCGCTCGGCCACCGCCACTGCCGCCGTCGTCCAAGTGGTCCGTGTACACCAGCCGGTCGGTGTGGAAGCCGGCGCTGATCACGTTGGCGTTCTTCGTTTGCCAGCAGGGCACCGGTTTCTACATTCTGCTGTTCTACTCGGTGGACGTGATTAGGGACTGCCGCGTGCCCGTTGACGGCATGACGTTCAACGCGTGCCTGTCTGTCACCCGGATCGTGGCCAGCGTCATATACGTCATGCAGTACGAGACGAAACGCCGGACGCTGGTGGTCATCTCTAGCGTGGGCATGTGCGTTGGCCTGTCGTCCGCCGTTGGTTACTTGTACGCGTTCGACGACGTCCGCGATCCGCCGTACCAGTTCTTGCTCACAGCCGCCTTCTTGGCTTACGTGTTTTTCGCTGTGTTGGCCATGCTGCCGTTGCCGTGGAGCATAACCGGCGAACTATTTCCCATGGCCGTCAAAGGTAAGCCAAACGTGGCCTGTACATAGGTCGTATTTTTTTACTTAAAACTCGACGGTTTTGGTGAGAAAGGGTATAAGTCATTTTTTGGATATTTGTGGTTTACACATACGTTTTGTAGGATATTTTGCGCCGCATCGTTTGGCGGCACTGTAGTTTGTCAATCGGTTTTCCTCATCATTATATTTTACTCGTCCGTTTAGGTAGACGTAAGTCAATATACTATAAATTGTCTTAATTATTATTTGATAAGTCAACTTTAATCACCTGTTTAATTTCTTTTATTCATGAGTCATGACTGTAATTTTATAGTCTAAATATAACTTCTTAGTATAAATTATTAATTTTTTTTTGTCTTTTAAAATATCTTATAGTTTTACTTATACCCTTTCTCACAAAAAAACGTTCAAATACAACCTATAACCAATATGCCGTTATTATGGCAAGCCAAAAACGTTGGCTTGCCAACGTTTTTCTGATGAAATCAATGATCGTTTTTCAGGTACGATGAACGGCGTCATACACTCTTGTGGATACGAACTACTATTTTTGGCAACGAAAATTTACCCAATGATGGTAATGACTTTGGGAATAAAACTGGTGTGGTCGATATTCGCCGGATTTTGTTTGATGAGCGCCCTTTTCGGTGCGTTTGTACTGCCCGAGACCAAGGGCAAGTCTCTGGATGAAATTTTGACGGAATTCGAACCGAAAAAGAAGGCCAAAATATTCCCTTAGTTGCGCCCCAAGCGAATGTAACTATTAGCTACATAGGAAATATGTACATTGTGTATTATTATATAATAGTCATTAGTTGAAGTAGTTTTTTTTTTAATGTAAGTGTATAGTTTTTATATGAATACAAAATGTACATATTGGGTATAGATTTAGTTGTACATGAATTATTTGTAAATAATTCAATATTGCAAACCTATAATACACGTTTTAACAATTATTATACCTACCAGCTACGTTAATGCCATGAACTTATAGTGTTTTTATTTATATGTTTACTTAAAGTGTATTTATATATTTATTTATGAAATTATTATGAGTTTTGTAATATTATAGTATTTATATTATATTATAATAATTATAACGTTGATTGTTAATTATAAGATTTAAGGACGTTGTTATTATTTTGTATTTTATAAATATAGGTATTTAAGTTTAAAGTTAACAAAAAGTTATCAAAACCAAGTGACTTTGCCACAGAAGGAACTGTTCCCACATCACTGCATCTTTTAAACGATTAATTTTTGTTGAAAGTTTACTGAAAACCTGAATCAGTTAGTTTAAAATAATTAATAAAGTTTTTAATTAGGGATCATATAACAAACAGAAAAGTTGTTAGATATTGTTAAATATTGTTGAAGAATCGGTCGGTGCGTCTGGTTTTTAACATATACAGGCACTGAAACAAAATAAAAAAATAATTTTTATTGGTGTCTCTTTGAACTTTGGGACAATTTCATTTTATAAATAATAATAATGATCAAAAACCATCAAGTAGTTCTTCAAATTAACTCGGCTAGTTTCTACATAAAACGTCTTTGTTATAAATAGGTACTAAGTAAACAGTAATTAAAATTTCATTAAACAAAATTGTAGTATCACGACATAAGTTAAATGAAAAATTGTTAATTATAAAATGTAAAAGTGAGAATAAGTCAATTATTAAAAGAGTAACTAGTAAAATCAAAAATGAACCAGTCGACTGATCATTACAAACATGTTTCACAATGTAATATGACATACTTGTATAATAATTCCTACATGCGTAAGTGTATGTTTGGAAGTATGTCTAGTTTTTACAAGGCGCGACAACTAATATTTTTAAATAACATTATTGTTACTTTGAATCTATTTAAGTACGTCGGTCTTTTACTAAGCCTATTTAACTTTTCTAATGTGTACTTGGTATTAGGAAATTAAAAAAAAATTAACAATTCAAAAATATTTCGACTTGATAAATATGACATAAATAAAAAAAGGAAAAATTTTTCTTTACTTAATTAAGTTTAATGTTTTTTTAATGATATACCTTAAAACGACCGTCACAATGAGTTAAAATTAGATAAATACTTTTTACGGTTTTATTATAATCAATCTTAAACAAATTTCTCTTTTGAAATTGTATAGCACTGTTCTTCACCCCATTAGATAAATGAAAAAAATATAATAATGGAAAATGTGTGTCCCTTAATCTAATGAATTACATAATATATTGCAATTTTATATCGGCAAAATACTTTGCTTCTTTTGTGATTTATTATCAATTGTTATTATTTTGATTCTAAATTTCTATAAATTAGCTTCAAAAGTATTTTCACAAAAATCGTTTTCGGCTAAAAAACATTTTCAGAAAAAAATTAAAAAACTAAAAACTAGTAGAATAATAAGTTGAAATGAACAAATATATTTTAAATAGTTGAAGTGTTTTAGTAGAAGATGTTTGAATGCGAAAGCCCTCTTAAGGTTTCACTTCTTTGGAAAACCCGCATTTTTTTTAGTCTTTTATAACGAAAAAAAATTTGCTATGGAAGGTTTTCGGATAAATAAAGAATAATTCGAGGTCAACGACAGTACAGATAGTATATTTTTGTATCTAAAAATGTATGTTGCCATTATATAGTTATTACCGTTATATTTTTTTTTGTCAGTCAGTATTTCTGTTGACTATTGGCGTTTACTTACCACATAGGCGTATACTCATTTTACATATATGTAAAAATATTTTTCTATATAACATAAAAATTGAAGTGTCGACGAAAGAACCGTGTATTAAAATGCTATTTTAAAGAAAAATAGGTTAGGTATTTCGCTTTAAGTTTGTATTTTTATCCATTTTTTTGCAAAAACGTTTTCTATATAAAATCAAAATAACGCTAGTAAAATAATATAATGGCCTTGTACAGGGTGATCTTATTTTCTTTCGGTACACTTTGTGTACACATCATAATATCAATCACAAAAAAAAAAATGTTTTTTAACAGACCTAAACAGGGGAGGAGACTTCCACGTCGAGGTTCATACGAGGGTTGTAAGTAAATACAGCAATTTAAAAATGACTATAAAACCAAAACATCAATATTTACCTATACTACTTTGTATCTACAAAGATAAAGAAAATATTAATGTTCTTCATTTGCAAACCACAAGTATGTTATATTATCCGTTTACCCGTGTAATCAGCCGAATTTGAGGTTGTGAAACAAAACTGTGAAACGCTAAAAAAGTGGTTGAGAAAAAAAGCTCTGCGGTTAAATAAATTGCGGTTCGAGGGCACCCTGTAGCGGCGGAACGCGTAGTACAAAATAAAAAATATAATAGTCTACCCGTAGAGAAATATGTAAAGGGGAAAATAGGAAAAACAAATATGTCGCATCCCCTACGATAATGGGGCTTACGGCACACACTCAAACAGGGTCGCATATATAGATTATTAAATGTATCCAGACGACCGAATAGCCGACCAGATTCCAGATTATTCAGCTATAATATAGCGTATAAAAAATGAAAAAAACAAACTAGTATTTGTTTTTAATACAATATTTGAATCGTGAAATATAGAAAGGGCACATGTCCAATTTTTTTTCAAAAATCCATTTTTTGTATTACCATCGTTACTAAACCTGGTGAACGTGATTACAGTTTATTGTAAAATACATGGTGGTCTTTTTTTTAAAAAGTTTATCGTTATAACTGATAAAATGTAATAATTGTTTATCAGTAAATTAATCGCTAAATACTGAAAGGGCACATATCCAGCGTACAATATTCAAAACAAAAACCTTAATATTTCCATATATCAATGACCTTAACATCCTTAAGGTGCCTGGAGTTTTATAAAATTTCTTTGAATAATAATAATTGTAGAAATATATATATGTTGTCTAATACTTTATTATTTAATAACATGAAATAAATAATTAAATATTTTTCTGAAAAATTATTTATTAAGTTTTTTGTCTTTTCTAAAAAAAATTTAAATCTGGACACGTGCCCTATCAGTACTTAGTGGTTCATTCATTTTCCTCTTCTGCCCTTGTGCTTTTGAATAATATATTATAATACGACTTCTGCGGTTTTTAAGATAGGTCGGCCGTCCTATTGCCAATGTAATGGTCAATTTTGTACTTAAGCTCTTTTTATTGTTAAAACCTCAGTAATCCAGAATTTTATACACATGCACAGTGTACCCAGTATGATATAATAAGCATGTAAAACGCGGTTAGACCACCGTCTTTGAAACGGCCAACGTCCAAATAAAATCTCGGTTTACGCTTGAAACTAAAAATGCTGGTAGCCGTTTTGAAAACATTATTTACCGATTACTTCATGATAACTTATAATTAATTATTATAATAGGCGTATTTCCCAAAAGTTAACGTTATATTGATTAAAAGTCGGTTTAACTAAAAAATATGTATTGCCAGAGTTTAATAGGAAAGTATAAATTTGTTTTGCCTAAAAGACAATTTAAAGAGAAATTGTTTTGAAAATTACATATTTTCCTGTCAATGCAATGATAATGTTTTTATTTAGAATGTACATTATTTGGAGTGTCAAGGGACTTTATGTTTGGCGTTAAATGTACTTGAATAAATTGCTAAACCTATTTTTATTTTAAATTTGAATTCTCGGCTAGTTACCTCCCATTGTAGAGAAACACCTTTCGTAATTTGCTATAATTTCTGAAGTTCAATAATTAGGTAGTACATACATACTAAACTACACAAGGGATTAGACTTACAACCGTTTTATACTAAACTAGTAAGGTACGTACTGAAACATTTTTAAAACCAACATGAAAATATGAAATTGATCAAAAACCGATCACCTAATTGCCCTTTTATAAGGCAAGCAAGCGTTGGCGGAGATCAAAGGGGGGAGGCTTGTGGTACTAAAAACCGAGCACTAATTTTAAGTTTTAAGGTTTTTAGAATCCCAAACCCCACCTGATTTCCGACAATGCCAGTAAGTACAAATTCTTGGGGGGGGGAGGGGAAACCGTTTTATTTTTTTGTTTTTTTACTATTGTCAACGGTGATATTGTTTTATTAATAGACAGTATGTGTATGTGTGTTGGTGGGAAATTGTAAAACGACATCGGCAACGGTCAACGGGCTCTCCCTTGTTTATTTTTTATTTTAATTAAAATGCGTGGCAAAGTGGTAACGCACCCTCAACACGCGACCGTTGAAGGCGAGGGTAATGTTTTGATGGATGCGCTTATAATGGAAACGATTAATACTATATACAAGCGTGTATCTCACTATAGGCGACAATACGGCTAATAAAAAAATACATACTATAATGTGTATCCATCTCAAATCTTGAAAGCCACGAACAAATGAAAATAAAAGCGTCAATATAGCCATAAAAGCAACGCCACATTGTACGACAGTATAAGGTTATTGTAATTGCAAGACGCTTATTAGAACAACGGCCGAATTTCAAGTTTTGGTTTTTTTTTAGGAGGCACAAAACACGAAAACTTTATAATTTTGCATCATTTATTACCATTTAATAAATTGGGTTGGTTTAATTTATAAAATATTAATTTATCCTAAGAAATGTTTTAAAGGTCTATTTCCACTAGCCCGGGACGTGTCAGGGCTGCGCCCGTGTCAGTTTTTGGCTCGTCCGGGTCGGCCCGGTCAGGTATTCACACTATTCAGTGCCCCGTCCGTGTAAATAAAATATTTTGTCATCAGTTGAAGTCAGACTTCGAAATTAGTAACCACGTGCTACTTGCTTACGTATTGTCGAGTGAAGTTAACCTACGATTTTAGCGGAAGTATTATTATTTGTTTATAATAACTGTGGTGTATATATCAAACGATGTTCGGCCATCGGGCCATGGGACCTGTTGGTCTAATTTAAACAAACATTCTATACCTGTATAAGTATATAATTTTATTTTAGTTTTAAAATTCTAAAAGATTCCCTACTACCTACTCTTATGTTTTAGACATAACCCATAAGTCTGCACGCAAAGAGTCA